TGAAAAATACAGGGAATATACTATCAACATGATTTACAATCCAATCATTAGAAGTCAAAGTAGTAGTTAACACCAACATATTTCTGTACATTTTATTCCTCTATGATCTGGGAACATGGCAACACTTTAAAAAATGAACAATAATGTAAAGTGGTTAATCAGCCGAGTAAGGCGCTATCGCTTGTTATTTGTTAAATACTCCATTTTTTTCTACATTTAATTTCACAAATGATGATTTTAATAACAGCAATCTCTTCAAGGCAGTGCACTACGAGGTGGTGAGTCAGAATGAGTGTGTGGCAAAGAAGTCTTGAGGATGCAGTGAAGAAATGGGTCGTAGAATCGCCCTGACAATTCACCCAATTATAAAGCAGTATCAGAGGCGAGACAGAGCCACGGCATACAATAAAGTTTCTTAATGGATAAGTTCAAGGAGTCTCTCGCCGATTCAAAACGTTTTCAAACTACTAAACACGACCCAGACGCTCACAGCCAAGACAGCCACTAGGCTAAGGTTAACACAATTTTTGGCATATACAGTGCATTCTAAAAGTATTCAGACCCCTTGACTTTTTCCACATTTTGTTAAGTTACAGCCTTATTCTAAAATGGATTAAATTGTTTTTTTCCCCTCATCAATTGACACACAACACCCCATAATGACAAAGCAAAAATAGGTTTTTAGAAATGTTTGCAAACAAATAAAACAATCAAAATGGAAATATCACATTTACATGAGTATTCAGACCCTTTACTCAGTACTTTGTTGAAGCACATTTGGCAGCGATTACAGCCTAAAGTCTTCTTGGGTATGAAACTACAAGCTTGGCACAGCTGTATTTGGGGAGTTTCTCCCATTCTCCTTTACAGATCCTCTCAAGCTCTGTCAGGTTGGATGGGAAGCGTCGCTGCACAGCTATTTTCAGGTCTCTCCAGAGATGTTTGATCGTGTTCAAGTCCGGGCTCTGGCTGGGCCACTCAAGGACATTCAGAGACTTGTCCCGAAGCCACTCCTGCGTTGTCTTGGCTGTGTGCTTAGGGTCGTTGTCCTGTTGGAAGGTGAACCTTCACCCCAGTATGAGGTCCTGAGCGCTCTGGAGTAGGTTTTCATCAAGGATCTCTCTGTACTTTTATCCGTTCATCTTCCCCTCAATCCTGACTAGTCTCCCAGTCCCTACCGCTGAAAAACATCCCCACTTCATGATGCTGCCACCACCATGCTTCACTGTAGGGATGGTGCCAGGTTTCCTCCACATGTGACGCTTGGTATTCAGGCCAAAGAGTTCAATCTTGGTTTCATCAGACCAGAGAATCTTGTTTCTCATGGTCAGAGTCCTTTAGGTGCCTTTTGGCAAACTCCAAGCGGGCTGTCATGTGCCTTTTACTGAGGAGTGGCTTCTATCTGGCCACTCTACCATAAAGGCCCGATTGGTGGAGTGCTGCAGAGATGGTTGTCCTTCTGGAAGGTTCTCCCATCTCCATATAGGAACTCTGGAGCTCTGTCAGAGTGACCATCGGGTTCTTGGTCACCTCCCTGACCAAGGCCCTTCTCCCCCAATTGCTCGGTTGTCCAGGCAACCAGCTCTAGGAAGAGTCTTGGTGGTTCCAAACTTCTTCCATTTAAGAATGATGGAGCCACTGTGTTCTTGGGGACCTTCAATGCTGTAGAAATGTTTTGGTACCCTTCCCCAGATCTGTGCCTCGGCACAATCCTGTCTCTGAGCTCTACGGACAATTCCTTCGACTTCATGGCTTGGTTTTTGCTCTGATATGCAATGTCAACTGTGGGATCTTATATAGACAGGTGTGTGCCTTTCCAAATCATGTCCAATCAATTGAATTTACCACAGCTGGACTCCAATTAAGTTGTAGAAATATCTCCGATGATCAATGGAAACAGGATGCACCAGAGCTCAATTTCGAGTGTCATAGCAAAGGGTCTGAATACTTATGTAATAAGTTTATTATTATTTTCATGAATTAGCAAACATTTCTAAAAACCTGTTTTCGCTTTGTCACGTGTGGATTGATGAGGAAAATGTTTTATTTAATCCATTTTAGAATAAGGCTGTCACGTAACAAAATGTTGAAAAAGGGAAGCGTTATGAATACTTTCCGAATGCACTGTATGTAAGTTGGTGTCAAATGAATTCAAATACCAGTTACTCACGACCAGGATCTTATGTATGTCACTTGCATGTTTGATATGACTGCAAATACACATCTGTGACCTAAACAATTCTTGAAAGAAAGCTACATTTAATCGAACTTGATTATACTGCCACTGTTCTTGCGAAGAAATGCTACCGAGAGGCCCGTTGAAGAAATGCAGTATTGAAGAATTCACAAAATGTCAGAAGTGGTAGATCTCATTCAATGCCAATCAACATGGTGATGTTCATCAGGTCACACGAAGGAAAAAGTTATGGAACATTTTGCAATAGGAAATGAGTGAGCGTTTCTTATGGGACAAGACCAGATAATCCCTCCCAGTCTCAGTCTATTTTCTTCCGTTTGGTGCCTAATGATCACAACCTAGGTGACTTTTTATTTATTTGCATAGACATGGTTCAGATTTTACTCTTGATTCACAGTCGTTTTGCTACGCTCACTGCAGCAGTTGATAATATAGCCAACATCATTGGGACAAGTGATGCAATATTTAGCAACAAACATTTAACAAAAAAAAATCTAGAATGACAAAACTGAACCCTATAAAACTAGGGCTCCATTGATGTTAAGTTAATTAGATGTTAACTACTATTTGTTAGCTTAATTCTTATCATCCTCTTATTCACTTATCATTAATATATATATATATATATATATATATATATATATATATTTCATAGGGCTATGGGCCTGGGACATACATATACATATATACACTCAGTGGCCAGTTTATTAGGTACATCTAGTACTGGGTTGGACCCCTCTTTGCCTCCAGAACAGCCTGAATTCTTTGGGGAATGGATTCTACAAGCTGTTGGAAACATTCAAACGTTGCTGAATTGGTATCAAGGGACCTAACGTGTGCCAGGAAAACATTCCCCACACCATTACACCACCAGCCTGTACTGTTGACACCAGGCAGGATGGGGCCATGGACTCAGTGTGGTCGTCTGCTGCAATAGCCCATCCGCGACAAGGACCGAGGAGTTGTGCGTTCCGAGATGCCGTTCTGCGCCGTTATTTGCCTGTTCGTGGCCAGCCTGTTAGCAGAGCACAATTCTTGCCATTCTCCTGCGACCTCTTATTAACGAGCCGTTGTCGCCCACAGGACTGCCGCTGACTGAATGTACTTTATCGAACCATTCTCGGTAAACCCTAGACACTGGCGTGCGTGAAAAGCCCAACCGGCACGCCTGGCACCGACGATCATACCACGCTCAAAGTCGCTGAGCTAACTCCTTTTGCCCATTCTGACATCAAATCATTGAGCAGCTGCTCTTAAAAACATTGTCACGAAGCCACACCTGTTCCACCCACGTTAGAAGTTCAGAACGAGAAAGTCTAGGCTAAATAGAAATAATGACGCTCAAATTGAAAACCATTAAATAAAATAATAAGGATTTATATTAGCCTAATAGAGGTGTAGATTACATCACAGATGCCAGTGTTCGAAATTGTAACACGGCTGCATGGGATTTCTGTTAATGGGACTCGGTGCATCCAATGGCAACGTCCGCTTCAGGTATAACGCCGGGAGCCGCTTGTGGATTTGACAGCTCCAATGCAGTTCCACCTCCAACACCACCAAAACAACAGCTATGCGGGTGTCGGCTAGCGCGGATATGATTTAAACTAGCCCTTAATCATTATTTTGATATTGGAGTTCATAATAATTCTCTATATGTGGGAGTGATTTTCACAAGAAGTCGTCTTATTTCTTAATTACTGTATCTCACTCCTAAATGTACTCTTTCCTTATCGGTTGTCTTTACATTAATTTATGACACACTGCTGACACTCCCACGTCATTAGTAACTCATTCGGTTTGCCTTAAAAATTTAAACAATGTTACTGTCCTAATGCCGACTCTTTGGGAAAGAAAGGGTCAAATCACACAACAAACCAGGGTCGTTGCAGTAGGCACCAAAACATTCAACGAAAAAAAAGACTAAATTCATTAAATGTTCTTCCATTAGGTGACTAATGAATACGACCCTGTTTTGCTACAAGAATTTCAAGCTATAAAAAAAAGCATTCTCAATATTCGAGGTTGAAATCAATACGTAGACTTGATTACAACTGACTTTTTATAAACAAAAACTTTGGATTGCGGTAAATAATTGTATCTATATAAAGGGCAAAAATATCGGACTATAAAACTATTGCACGTCAAAAATAAAGCTTTTCATCATAACATTCACAAAAACCTTACCACCACAAAAGTGGCGTACCAGCAAAGTAAATGCCTTAAGATTCAATATTTCATTCGGAAAGCAACATGTTAAATCAAGTAAAACACTCAAAATGTCACAAATCGATGAGGGGTCTTTTTTGGAAGAACCGGCAGCACTCGATCCCTAGCATTCATTCATCCATTCATACACTCAACAGTCTGTGCTCAGGGAGATGAAGGGGAAGAAATGAAACAACTCACATTGTAGTGAATAGTCTTCCGTAATTATTAACTACTGTGGTGTGGAGATGACAGAGAGACAGATGTGACTCTCTCTCTTCCCGGACACGTGGACTGATTGGGCAGAAAAAGGCAAGCTTCAACAGGGTTACACAGGTCAGGGGGTGAAAGTTGAATAATTCAGTATGAAGGGTCATCACCATGGAGACAGATTGACTCCACCTCAGGTGTAACGGTTTTGGGGGTCTGTCTAACGTGGCTCCGGACTGCAGAAAGGGGTGTGTCTGTTAGTGTCTGCCCATCTCAAGAGAGCCAAGACCTGGGGGAAAAGTGCGGCTGCCTGAAACCTAGACAGATCAAAGTGCGTGGAGAATGGCTCCTTGAGGCACGCCATTTTGGCTGCCGTGTGTTACTACTCCTGTCCGAAGCCCTCAGTTTCCTCGATGGCAAACATCAGCTTCTCCTTCAGTTGCTCATAGCTCTTGTAGGGGGGCAGGTCCAGTCGATTAAAGCTGGGATTACAAACACAAGGAATACAAAATAAAACCATTACATTGCAGATAGACACATAAATGATACAGACTTGAGAAATTAGGTCCTGTGTGGCTCAGTTGTTAAGAGCATGGCACGACTAACACCAAAAGATGATGTTCTCACTGTACCGAGTTGCTTTGGATAAAAGTGGCTGTTAAGTGGCAGAAAATGTATATTTGATAACAAAATAAATAGTTTGAATATCGAGAGGAAAGGTTGTTAATGGCTGAATTGAAAATGATGAAGTATTGCGTGGCAGGGTCACGTTTAATCAAGACTGAGTTCACATTGAGAGATGAACTGGCCTAAGCCCTCCGATATAACAGGAATTGTATGTTCAAAATCGAATCAAATAAAAATGTGTTTGTCACATGCGCCGAATACAACAGGTGTAGACCTTCCTGTGAAATGCTTACTTAGAAGCCCTTAACCAGAAATAGAGTTAAGAAAATATTGACTAAATAAAATAAAGTACAAAAATTGAATGAAATCAAAAAGTAACACAATAAAATTATATAACACAGGGGGTACCAGTACAGAGTCAATGTGCGGGGGTACAGGTTAGTCGAGGTAATTTGTAAAATGACTATGCATAGATAATAAACAGCGAGTAGCAGCAGTGTAAAAATAAAGGGGGGGGGGGGGGTCAACGTAAATAGTCCGGGTGGCCATTTTATTAAATGTCTTATGTTGATGTTCAGACAGTGAGTGCTTAGAAATAATAATAATAATAATAATAATAATAATAATATGCCATTTAGCAGACGCTTTTATCCAAAGCGACTTACAGTCATGTGTGCATACATTTTTACGTATGGGTGGTCCCGGGGATCGAACCCACTACCCTGGCGTTACAAGCGCCACGCTCTACCAATTGAGCTGGAAATGACTGGAGAGTAACTCCACTAATGAACTTACCAAGTGTGACTTCTTGGAAGCCAGTTTTCTTTGCCCACCTTCTCGATGCAGAACTTCTGTGGTCCGTTACTCCCTGAAAGCACAAAACAACGACATGACAACTCTCCTCACAAATATAAAAATCCTCAATTTCTGTGACTAGAGCTGGTCCATCGTTCTCTTTCAATGTCTATATCTATCAAAATACAAGTCCCAAAAAACGTTTATTTGAATCCTCGACTTCCATGGATGACTTGCTAGTTATCCATAAACAATCCCTTAAGGTGTGGGTTAGCTGATAGTTGAATATAAAAAAACATATCGTATATAGAGATACCAGAAACTGTTCTCTAACGTACCCATGAGGTCAGCGAAGCCACCCATGGGGAGCCGACAGGTGCCGGTGACAAACTGTAGCAGCCTCATGCGTTTCTCATTGTCCATCTCCTTTACAAACTGGAAGAAACATTTTCACATCAGAACATTTAATAGTCAAAATACGCCAAACAGTAAACACCCCTTCACGATATACCATAGAGCCCTACTGACCTGCCAGAACCAGACAATCTGCTTGCTGCTGCATGCACAGTGCCTGTAGATGGTGTGCCTCTGCCAGTCCACCAGGTCTATCTCCTGCATACCACACAGCATCACCTGGTGGGGGGACCAGATATTAAGTTACACCATTCTCAATGGGGAAGAATGACCAGCGAACTCTGGGAGAATCTTTAACCCGGTATACTGTGGTGATTGACCAATACTGGTTTCCAAATGGACCCGAGCATCAACAATCTAGTGCCAAGGGGGCACTCAATACTTCAGCGAAGACATTTGAAGGGAAAATACTGAAGGTTGGTCCATGCCATATTCTGTTTAGGCGCCATACGTTGAGATAAAAAGAGTGGTTTTCACATCCCATTTCTTCATTACAGTAACTCATTTCATCTGTGTATGAATAAACCCATGGTGTACCTCCAGTTCCTTAGCGTCAAAGTACTGCAGGTACTGCTGGGGGAGGACCTCGTTGAAGCCCTCGAAGAAGGCCTGGGTCTGCTCTTCCACACCTCTGGACAACCTCCACTCTGCCACCAGCCTGGAGGAAGGACACACAACAGAGAATGTATCAGATAAATGTTCATTTCTTCTGTTGGGCAAAAAATATGTACCCACTGATTTCTAGTTGGTTTTCAATCCTACCTGATGTATTCCTCTTTGTTCTCCTCAGTGACCAGGACGTTGCCTCCGTCTGGCTTAAGCTCATGAGTAGTGACCTCCCCCAGGATCTCCTTGTCCACAGAGAAGAACATCTCCAGACCACACTCCTCCAAGTTGTTATCCCTGGGAGCAAACACAAGAGGGTAGATGTCACACTCATCAGCAGCTCCTCTCCTTGCTCATCAGTTACTATCATCATCATCATTTTTCACTTCTCCTCTTCATCATCTCCTCTTCCTCATAGTTATAATCACCTCATCATCAATATTATTTGTTCATCATATTCACCATCATCATCATCCTAACTATCACTGCCACTAAGTCACCATTATCAGGCAAAGCTCTCCACACTCCACATTCCCATTTCTACTTCCTGTTCCCATTCCCAGACTCACTTGATCCAGATGAGGGAGTTGTAGAATTCCGTGTCGATGGATTCTAGGTCCTTCAGGGCCAGGGGCTTGTTCAGGATGCGCTTGTAGAAGGGCAGGGAGAATCCCGTATCGATGAACTTCCCGTGGAACAAGGCCTGTAGAGAAACATCATGAACCAGGGATGTGATCAGGAACTACAGAGTGACATCATGAACCAGGGATGTGATCAGGAACTACAGAGTGACATCATGAACCAGGGATGTGATCAGGAACTACAGAGTGACATCATGAACCAGGGATGTGATCAAGAACTACAGAGTGACATCATGAACCAGGGATGTGATCAGGAACTACAGAGTGGCTTCTTTTCAGGGTCGTGTTCATTCGGCACCGAACAAACTGAAACAGGGAGGCTCACTTTCATTTTCTGTTGCAAAATGTTTTAAAACATGCTATGTTGCTAGCCCTAATGAACAAGGCCCAGGCTAGTGAAGAAGGGCTGCATCCGAATTCCCATTTAAGTCAAAATTTCACTTAGTCTCCCATTGACATCAATGCATGACTTAGTGAAAATTCAACTTAAGTGGAGGTTAGGATTCGCCCCATACATAGCATTGAGGTAGGTACCATGGCGATGAAGCGTCCGATGAACTTGAAGTACTTGAGGTGGTCGGGGTTGATGTAAGAGGCAGGGTTGATCTGGAGACAGTAGTTGTCCTTCCCAGCGTACTCAAACAGGCAGTACATGGGGTTCAGCACCTCATGAGACAACAGGAAGAACCACTCCCTGAGAACACACACACAATGTTAAAAAAATACGTTGAAAAGACTGACACAAACACACACTTACAATGATTCCTAATATGAGTTCATACTTCACCTATCAAAATAGGTAATTTACCTTGCCACTCCTCCGTAGTCCAAGCCTTCCTCACCAGGGAAAATTATCCAAAGCCTCCGTCTGAGATCTTGTGGATGAAAGCTCATTATCTTTGATGGACAAAAAGAGAGAATTGGAAACAGAAACATTACAACGTTTGACTATTTTTGAACACAGCCCTTGTATTCATCCACCTTTCTGTACCTCTGGTCCAAAAATAGAGTACTCAAAGTTGCTCAAAAGAAATGACAAACTATTTCTCGAACACTGACAACTTTTCAACTAGTGTTATTTTTGTACTTATTCACAAGACTACAAAGAGCGCAAGTTTAAATGCGTGCCTATTTATATTTTATTAATATATAATAATACTTTTTTTATATACTACCTTATTTTTTATACACTCACTTGCTGGAATGAATCTTCAAAGAGGGTTTTGCGGGTGACGGTGATCTTGATGTGCTGTGGCATTGACAGTTGCTGGAAGACAAAGACAGGCTCGCGTTATGGCCCCAGGAACAACAGGAATAACTCGGGGTCTCCCCTTCTGCCCAAAATGGGGAATCCTAACTTCCAATTAAGTCAAATTTTCACTTAGTCTTTCATTGATGTCAATGGGAGACTAAGTGAACATTTCACCTAAGTGGGAATCAGGATGTGCCCTTAAGTGTGCACATGTTCACTTGTCTTCATCCTTAAAAGGAAAAGAAGACTAGAGGAAGCCAGACCTGGATTCAAGCACTATTTGAAAAGTCAAACACGTTAGCTGTGCTTGATTGAGCTTGCCTGTTTACATTGACATGTTAGCTCCCCTACCTCTACGGAAGCACAGTTCCCGCTCAGCCCAGTCAAAACTATTCGCTGCTCTGGCACCCCAATGGTGGAACAAGCTCCCTCACGACGCCAGGACAGCGGAGTCACTTGAAACTCTATCTCTTTAAGGAATACCTGGAATAGTATAAAAGTAATCCTTCTACCCCCCCCCCCCCTCCCATTAAAACAAATAAATATATATACAGTATATTGGGTGGTTGTCCCACTAACACACTTGTGCAGCTCTGCAGTACTTGCAGCTATACTTAGGCCCTGGTTGCAGCTATACTTAGGCCCTGGTTGCAGCTATACTTAGGCCCTGGTTGCAGCTATACTTAGGCCCTGGTTGCAGCTATACCCAGGAAGTTCACCATGGTCTCATAGCTGAGCTCCTTGGCCTGGACAATGTATTCATCTATCTCCCTCTCTCGAGGACAGTTGCAATGGAACCAAAAGTGCAAACCCGCCCGCCTGGTACTCCAGACAGGTTTAAGCAAACACTCAAATTATTGAAAAATGTCTAGTAGTAATTGAACCCAGGTCTGGTGGAAGCTCCCTCTAACCGAGCATACATACCTCAATCCTCCTTTTAAATGCGGGAAGAGTGCATTTGTAAGTGTATACTTCAGGGGAATTGGGACACAGCCTAAGACTGCATTTTAGAAAGGCAGAGGTGGTTCTCAGGACAGAGTGTACACTATAGCGTACACTACAAAGCTAGGGTACAGGGTGTGTAGGGTACATACCTGACACCAGAACCTGAAGTACTGCACTTTGGCTTTGAAGTCCCTGACGTAGGTGATCTGGGGCCCATTCTCACTGTGAAGCAAACATGAAATACATGAGTGATCTGGGGCCCGTTCTCACTGTGAAGCAAACATGAAATACATGAGTGATCTGGAGCCCATTCTCACTGTGAAGCAAACATGAAATACATGAGTGATCTGGGGCCCATTCTCACTGTGAAGAAAACATGAAATACATGAGTGATCTGGGGCCCGTTTTTACTGTGAAGCAAACATGAAATACATAAGTAATCTGGAGCCCATTCTCACTGTGAAGCAAACATGAAATACATGAGTTATCTGGGGCCCATTCTCACTGTGAAGAAAACATGAAATACATGAGTGATCTGGGGCCCGTTCTCACTGTGAAGAAAACATGAAATACATGAGCTTGTTGACACTGACATTTGTTTATGTGCTTATTTGATGGGTCTCACTGGAGTAAATAACATTCAACATCTTTTGAGCAATACAATTAGGTGAGTGGATGGATGGCACAACTGTGTGTGTGTCTGTGTGTGTGTGTGTGTGTGTGTGTGTGTGTGTGTGTGTGTGTGTGTGCACCTGGGATCTTTTAAATGTTTGAATCCTTTGGACTGTAATGTGATTTATGGACTCAAATTAAGTCTTTAAAATATATTTGTGTATACCATGTGAGTGTGCGAGTGAGTGAGCATGTGTGTGCGTACATGCAAGTGTGAGTGAGCATGTGAGTGAGATAGTGAGTAGCGGGCTGACGGGCCAGCAACTGAAGGGTCACTGGGAGTGAGTGAGTGCACACTTGACTCACAGGGAGGATTTGCCCGTGCGAGGGTCGATGTATGTGGTGGTTCTCCTGTTGTGGTCCACGAAGTAGGGGATGCCGTCCACGGTGAACCTCATCTCCCAGCCTTCAGGTATAGGCTTGTCATTAAGCAGCCTACACCAACACAAACCAACCAACCAACACACACACACACACACACACACACACACACACACACACACAGACTTATTTACAGGGCACTGACAGTCATACAAGAGCCGTTCTTTACAGTCCAGTATTTGGGTTGCTTGTTTGGAATTAAACTGACCCTTGCGTTCGTGGGTCCTCCCACTGGGTCATCCGCGATGTGTGGTGAACAAAATACACCCTGCCGTTGGTGTCTGTTCGCTTCTCTGCAGTAGACATCAAAACAAACAGCAAGAACGAGACTTAGAATCCCTCATCGTACCAAACAAAGATTCCATAACAGTTATACGTTTAGAAAGTGGATTAAATCACAATCTGTCAAAAGAAACACAACTGGGGTGTAATCATTAGTGCACACTGTAGCAAACAGTTGCAAAACGTTTGTCAACAGGATTTTTTTTTTTTTTTGCATTTAAAATTAGAGTTTCTATTGGCCAAATTCAGATAGGTTCCTCCCAGTTTCATTCCGTTTGGTTTCTAGTAGCCTCTGCCGAGTCCCCAACAACCAGATGTTCCGGTTTTCAGGGGAAATGGAAAGAGCCTGTGACACGACTTCCACTTTTGGACGTTAACAAGGCGACACTCCATCTTAACTCCTCCTCCACATTTACTGGATTGGTTGAACAGTGCAGGATTGGTTGAACAGTTTATTTTTCTTCTCGTCAAGACCAGTATGTATGGGATCTAGTTTCAGGAGATTCATTTACGCCTGCTACGTTACGTTCGTTTTCTAGTGAATCCACCCGTGGAGACGCCTCATAATTTTTGGACATGTGACACTGCAGTTGCTAACTAACGAAGTAATTGTAGCTAGCAAGCTAACTAACCTGGCTAACTGTGCGTAAAAAACAATTCACTTATACAGTAGTTGGGTAGGCATCACACTGCCCTGTGCTAGCAAACATGACACTGCCTCAAACTGGCAAGACGTTTCTACAAATGTTTACATTGTGACGTCTCCACATTCGGAGCGTATTGACAGTTGAAAACGCGTGGTGGTGGATCGTGCTACTTACCCCAGCCGTGTGGCAGCGGCCCAAGTGGGTCAAACTCTTTGTTTGCTGCGGCTATTTGCTGATCCTGGAGCTACAATGGAGAAACAAGGAGGTCAAATGAACAGAGCTTACGTGTGTTGAATAATGCTTCTTTACAACGATATACAGTGGGCTTATAAAATAGCTAATCACAGATTAATAAGTGATTAGATAGCTGAAAGCAAGGTCACCATCCTAGAACTTCCACCAACCCAACCGGTTCAGAACTGTGATTCCTTCAAGGAAGGATGCATTTCCGATGGTCTACTTATATAAGTATTCAAACAGAGTCCAAGGGGGAGTCCCATTTTATCTCCTTCCTCCTGAAGTGTACAGTCGTTCACTACTTCCCACATATGTGGTCCTCTGTAGCTCAGCTGGTAGAGCACGGCGCTTGTAACGCCAAGGTAGTGGGTTCGATCCCCGGGACCACCCATACACAAAAATGTATGCACGCATGACTGTAAGTCGCTTTGGATAAAAGCGTCTGCTAAATGGCATATTATTATTATTATTATTATTATTATTATTATTATTATTATTATTATTATTATTATATCTAAAAGCATTGGATTGGTGGAGGCCTGGGCTAGAGGGAGTTTACACCATATTTCTTTTACCAGTTATTACCTTTCAAATCAGTGGTCCAATCCCAAATCCACCCCTTGACCCTATGCCCTAAGCACTCCACCCCTAGACCCTACACCACCTCTACCCCTAGACACTCTACCCCCTAGGCACTCCACCCCTAGACACTATGCACTCCACCCCTAGACCCTAGGCACTCCACCCCTAGACACTAGGGCCTGTGTACTCCACCCCTAGACCCTACGTCCTCCACCCCTAGACCCTATGCACTTGTGGAGATCTGAGTTCCAACTTGCCCCTCTGATAGGCTAGCGGGTTCTAAGGCCAGGGGTTCTAACGGGGTTCTAAGGCCAGGGGGTTCTAAGCCAGTTTCACCATATTGCTTACACCTGTCAAATCATCTCACATCTCAATTTGGGATTAGGCTAGCGCACCTTGGGAGGAAGGGGAGAGAATTGGGACGTAGCCCATGTCTTACCCCGAATATGAACCTCTGGTTGAACTGCTGCATGGCCCCCTGCAACTGACTGCGCTGGTGCTGCCACTCCTCATAGTTACGCACCGACTCCTGCGTAGGGCGCTGCCACGTGGTGGTCCGGCTGATGTGGTCCACAAAGTACACCCTGCCCATGGGGTCGACTCGCCGCTCCCACCTACATGGGAGAGGAGGGGAGGGGAGAGGGAATTTTCAACTTCCCCATGATGATTGATGACGGCCCTGCTTGAATACTTTCGAAAGGAATCATTTCTCCCTACCTTCTAGTAAAATAAAAACAGATCTGAACTGGATAGATTGGTGAAAGTAATAGGGTGGTAACCTTGCTTACACCTATCCAATCACATATCTACACTTCTCTTGAGGAAACAAGCAGGGGAAGCATTTCTGCAGTATTTCAACAGGGCCGATATTCCTCTAGGGGAAGCATTCCTGCAGTATCTCAACAGGGCCGATATTCCTCTAGGGGAGGCAGTGTCCACTGTAAAGAAATCCAGGGCCTTTGGTCTGAAGTCTTCAGTAGGATGTGCACAAAAATGGCACGGCTAAAGTTTGATGTCACTTATCACTGAGCTAGGATTGGTACTGTGCAGTGTTCCTTGTGACATCAAACTATAGTGACATCAACTTCGTGCAGGTGCTCTATTGAAACCAATTTAACACCAATTATTTTACATTGTACAGCGTAACATACACATTAGTTACCGTAATCCAAAATACATTGGTTACTTTTTAAAGAGTAGAATTAGTGATACACTACTGCCATATGAAAGCCAAACATATAATATATGAAATATGAACTAAGTATTTTATGAATAAATTATTTGTTTGTTAATTGTTAGTTACCCAGAAGGGAGAGAGTCGGGTCGGTTCCATGTCGTCCCTTTTTCAATGTGATCCACGTAATACATGCGGCCATTCTGGTCCACCCTCTGCTCCCAGCTTCACACAAAACACACAGAACAGTCAGCGACTAGATTTGAAGGGCACCAGGCTTGCGCAAACGTAGCCTTAACACCTAAACAAATGTTAAAATCCTAAATAAAAATAATTGCAAGTACATTAATTGAATTGATTAAATTACACAGAATATTACTACTAGTTACTAACGTGCACTAAGTTGAACTCCTAATACTTACTACATGTAATGACCCACAGTAGGCAATATACAATAGGCAACAGACTAACGCTTACTAGACTAACAGACTAACGCTGACTAGACTAACAGACTAACACTGACTAGACTAACAACAGACTAACGCTGACTAGACTAACAGACTAACGCTGACTAGACTAACAGACTAACGCTGACTAGACTAACAACAGACTAACGCTTACTAGACTAACAGACTAACGCTGACTAGACTAACAGACTAACACTGACTAGACTAACAACAGACTAATGCTGACTAGACTAACAGACTAACGCTGACTAGACTAACAGACTAACGCTGACTAGACTAACAACAGACTAACGCTTACTAGACTAACAGACTAACGCTGACTAGACTAACAACAGACTAACGCTTACTAGACTAACAGACTAACGCTTACTAGACTAACAGACTAACGCTGACTAGACTAACAACAGACTAACGCTTACTAGACTAACAGACTAACGCTGACTAGACTAACAACAGACTAACGCTGCCTAGACTAACAACAGACTAACGCTTACTAGACTAACAGACTAACGCTGACTAGACTAACAACAGACTAACGCTGCCTAGACTAACAACAGACTAACGCTGACTAGACTAACAACAGACTAACACTGCCTAGACTAACAACAGACTAACACTGCCTAGACTAACAACAGACTAAACCCTAGACTAACAGACTAACGCTGCCTAGACTAACACAGACTAACACTGCCTAGACTAACAGACTAACCTGCCTAGACTAACAACAGACTAACACTGCCTAGACTAACAGACTAACACTGCCTAGACTAACAGACTAATGCTGCCTAGACTAACAACAGACTAACACTGCCTAGACTAACAACAGACTAACACTGCCTAGACTAACAACAGACTAACACTGCCTAGACTAACAACAGACTAATGCTGCCTAGACTAACAACAGACTAACACTGCCTAGACTAACAAACAGACTAACACTGCCTAGACTAACAACAGACTAACACTGCCTAGACTAACTAACAGACTAACACTGCCTAGACTAACAGACTAACACTGCCTAGACTAACAACAGACTAACACTGCCTAGACTAACAGACTAACGCTGCCTAGACTAACAACAGACTAACACTGCCTAGACTAACAACAGACTAACGCTGCCTAGACTAACAACAGACTAACGCTGCCTAGACTAACACTGCCTAGACTAACAGACTAACGCTGCCTAGACTAACAACAGACTAACGCTGCCTAGACTAACAACAGACTAACGCTGCCTAGACTAACGCTGACTAGACTAAGTATATTTTTCTACTGACTGTAAAATGAGTGATAAATTGTTCATTCTCATCTATTAGCGGTTGAGAGGTTGTTTGAAATATCAAATTGAAGTGTCAACAGCTATTCATAACCAACAAAGAGTTAAACATTAAGTCAACTCTACAAAGAGGTGTCGCATTGAACTCAAGTCAACCTCAGTGTGTCCCCTAGGATTTTTTTTCAGCAGCAGTGGCAAAGTTAGCGGGTTGGTGCGTGGTAGTGGGCTCGGTGGTGGCCGTGGCCAATGGCACGGTTGTAGAGGCCCTCTTGACCACAGAGACAAAATGTTAGTTTTAAAGCTAATTTCCTTCATTTCTACACATTTGTCATGGGGCTGAGAGAACAATCGCAGTTTCAAAGCTAATTTCCTGCATTCCACAAATTTTGCCATATCTTATATGCCTTGTTCTTATGCTATCTGATGTAACTCAAACATTATAAGAACATGCAATTACATTTTTGGAATTTCAGATTATCCCTGACTGTCTAGTTTTTATTTTGGTGATTGTTAGTTCTCAAAGATGATCTTATTAAAAAATATATAGCTCCATTATCTTTTCTACATACTTTATATCTGGTTTTAGTCGTTTACGTTTACACTGAAAACGTTTTACCATCCTGAAAATGTACATAGTTAGAAAACGTACATAGTACACTAGTTAGGTGGAGTTTGCCTTCGCCCTCTAGTCTAGTTATGGCAAGCCTAAATAAGTTCAGGAGTAAAAATTTGCTTACCAAGTCACATAATAAGTTGTATGGACTCACTGTGTGCAATCATAGTGTTTATCATGATTTTTTTTTATGACTACCTCATCTCTGTACCCCACACATACAATTATCTGTAAGGTCCCTCAATCGAGCAGTGAATTTCAAACACAGATTCAACCACAAAGACAAAGACCAAGGAGGTGTTCCAATGCCTCGCAAAGAAGGGCACCTATTGGTAGACATTGAATATCATGGAGCATGGTGAAGTTATTAACTACACTTTGGATGGTGTATCAATACACCCACTCACTACAAAGATACAGGCGTTCCACTTAGGGATTTCACCATGAGGCCAATGGTGACTTTAAAACAGTTACAGATTTTAATGATTGTGATGAGAAAACTGAGGATGGATCATCAACATTGCATTTACTCCACAATACTAACCTAATTGACAGAGTGAAAAGAAGGATGCCTGTACAGAATATAAATATTCCAAAACATGCATCCTGTTTGCAACAAGACACTAAAGTAATACTGCAAAAAATGTGGCAAAGCAATTAACTTTTTGTCCTGAATACAAAGTGTTATGTTTGGGGCAAATCCAATACAACACATTACTGAGCACCACTCTCCATATTTTCAAGCATAGCATGGATAAGCTTGTAATCGTTAAATACTAGGGAGTTACGCCGCTGCTAAATGCATACAGGGGAAACACTGCAACCTTAAAGTTCACATTTACAAGATGCAGGATATACAGCGTGGGGATATATTGCAGGACACATACAGTAGGCTATATAGGGCATACAGTGAACTCCTGACACACGCATTAAAACCCAGGAATGACGCTAAAGACCCCCTTCCTACATGTACATATTACCTCAATCAATCATCTAACCAAACCTACATGTACATATTACCTCAATCAATCATCTAACCAAACCTACATGTACATATTACCTCAATCAATCATCTAACCAAACCTACATGTACATATAACCTCAATCAATCACCCCAACTACCTGGTACCCCAGTACACTGACTCGGTACCGGTACTCCTTGTACATAGCCTGTATATAGCCTCGTTATTGTTATTTGATTGTGATACTATTTTATTTTGATCTACTTGATAATTTCCGTACTTTTTAACTGCATTGTTGGGAAAGGGCTCGTAAGTAAGCATTTCACGGTAAAGTCTACACTTGTTGTATTTGGCACATGTGCAAATAAAATTGGATTTGAAGACCCCGTGTAGCTCAGATGGTAGAGCATGGCGTTTGCAACACCAGGGTTGTGGGTTCGATTCCCACGGGGGGCCAGTATGAAAATGTATGCACATTTTCATACTGTCGCTCTGGATAAGAGCGTCTGCTAAATGACTAAATGTAAAATGTAAGACGAAGGCATGCGCACATTTCCGATGGACAGGCTGATTAGGGCAGTCGGATTGATTGGGAGCGTAATTTTTTTTACTCGCTCATGATACACATCTGGTTAGGAGTCTATGCAAGTCCCTTACCCCGGTGGCAGTGGGCCGTTGCTGACAGGGCCAACTTGGGCGTGCCCGCCGGCTGGGGGTGCACTGGCTGGTGCCCCGATGGCTGGGGGTCCGCTGGTGCTGGCTGCCTGTGGGGGTGGGGGTGCTGCTCCGTTCTCCTGAGGGGGGTAGGAGGAGTCGTCTGAAGCCGGGGGCTCGCTCACCTCGCTGGGAGTGGAGCTGCTGGAGGACACTGGAGGAGACGGAGGAGAGAAGGTTAGCTGCAGTCGCTAGTAGGAGACGGTATAGACGGAGGAGAGAAGGTT